AAAGTGATTGATGAAGTAGTTAATGTGATGATAAAAAAAAATTTTATGGGGGGAAAAAAAACTTTAAAAGAAAATAAAATTAAAAGTCTTTTTTTTTTTTTTTTTTTTTTTTTTAAATTATTTGTTTTGAAACGCTTTATTAACGTAAACTTATATAAAAAAAATTATTTTTTTGTGATTTGCGCAATTGTTGATTACAATTCTCTTGTGTGTTTCAGTCGGTAAAGATAGCGACGAGCCTGACAGAGTGACGGTAAGTGCAAGAGTTCGAAGATACGTAAACAGTTTTCAACTGTGAAAGTTTTTAAATTGAAATAATAATAGAAAAAAAATCTGCATTACACAGGTGAAATCGGCTTCCGTTAAGAAGCTGAATATGCCACCGAAAAGAGGACAATTTGGACCCGCTAAGACATCCTCTTCCGCGTTAGGTATATTTCGAATCATTTATATATATATGTATATATTTATATATATTGTATATTTTTTACACTATGATTGTACAGATTGTCATTGTACTTTTTTTTAAATCTTCTCTTTTTTTCATCTTGAGAGCATGATTTATTGCAAGAGTAGCGACAGTAATAAGCAAGTTTCTTTGGAATATTTTCAGTTACGGTAGTTGACGTGCAAATTTTGAATAATATATAAACTTAGAATTTTTAATTATATTAAAGCTAGAAATATCAATGTTTTTTTATTATTTTGAAACCATGTAAATATAATATACATAACAATATTTGCGTTGTATAAATCTGATCTTTCGTCTCTATATGTGTGTCTTTTCATGGTTCATTTGACGTGTATATGTGAATGCTGTAACTCAATGTTGACTAATGTCACACAAAAGCACACGTTTCCGCATACGAAGCGCACGTATATTGGAAAATATACGTAATATTCACGCTTAATTGTAACCGTAAGGGCCTGAGCACAATAGAGAAAATATTAGGAATAAGAATTAAAAATAGAAGTTAAATGTAATGCACAATGCAAAAAAATATAACAAATGTATATAAATATAGGCTGTATATCATGCAGCCATGATATACTTCCTGTATTTATATTGTTATATTTTATTTCTTGTCATTGTATAATACATTTAACTTCTAATTCTAATTCTTATTTCTAATATTTTCTTTATTGTGGCTCAGACCCTAATGCTTCACTTTCACATATCTTTAATAATATACACACGGTTCGAGACAACTCGCCAACAAAAGGTCAATGTGACGTTGACGTTTCGATGACGAGAATAACGCTAACTGTTCGCTTGCATGACAGCTCTTCCTTCTGGTACTCCATCCTACACGGTCCCAAGGGCAGCGACCGTCAAAAGAGCTCTGTCAGTAAGAACAGCATCAGGTATAAATTGTAAATTCTATTATTAGCAACTACATATTTTAAAAGATTCTCTCTCTTCGAAAATCACTCGGTTAATAAGAAAAAAGACTAAATATTAAAAAATAATAATAATAAATATTTGCACTATCAATAAATTTCATGATACGTAGCGACATCAAAATGTCATTAGAATAAATTGCAATTACATCAATTGCTCTCTAATTAGAACATGTGTATTATTGCTTTGTTGTCAGCTCATATCAGCTTTTCATTTGTACGGGATATGGATCATTTATAATGCTTATTTATTATCATTTGCAATTTATTAATTTTTTGTATGGCTTGAGCACCGTTTACATGTAACGTAATTGACGTAATTTTTAGTATCACACAGTCATAGGCAATTTTGCAAAAAAAGAAATGTATAGCATGAAGAGAGCATTATCATAAGCGAGATCGTAATTCTTCAGTGCGCGCATTATATCTAATATACACTCTCATTACACACATTGAATCAAATAAAAAAAGTTCTTTAACATACACGTTGAGTCAAATAAAGAAAGTTATCATACTGTTTTATATCCAGGACAAGCCGGAGCTGTCGACGAAGAATGCTTTATCACCGCATTCGAGGACGTCCCTACTGTCACCTTATTCTCGGCGAAGGATCTCGAAGAGCAGATGAAAGTTATCAAAGACACAGTGGGCGACGACAAGAAGGATTGGAAACAGAGAGTGGACAGTGTATGTGCTACAATTTAAAAAAATCAATTAAAAAAACAAAATCTCATCTCATCCTCTTAATCGCTTTATATATATATATATATATATATATATATATAAACGATTTCATATTCGTTGTCTTCTTCTGTTGGCAGATGAGAAAGCTAAGAGCCATTGTACTCGCAGGTGGCACTAATTACGAACATTTTCTCGAGTGCCTAAAGAACATGCAGCGACCGTTTGAACAAGCCTGCACCGATCTGAGATCCCAGGTAGCGAGAGAGGCGTGTATCACTCTAGCCTTTCTGAGTCAAAGCCTGAAGAACAAATTCGCCGGTTTTGGCGAGACAGTTTTACTCACGTTAATGAACCTTATACAAAATAGTGCCAAGGTAAGTTCTCGTAGATTACTGAGTGTTTTTTTTTTGTTTTTTTGTTTTTTTGTTTTTATATATATATATATATATTTTTGTCACGTTATTTAGATACAATTATTGTCCGAAACGTCGTGTTGAATCTAATTATTTGTCTTTACTAACATTTATATTTTCATTGAAAATGCACGATAATCGAAGTTTATTTTAGTTTTTTATGTAATATCTGTAAAAGGATTTTAATTATCGGTCGTTTTTGTCGTTAACTAGGTCGTGGCGACAGCCGGTGCAGTAGCAGTTCGATTTATTCTTCAAAATACCCACTGCAACCGATACGTACCTATAATTATATCGTGCGTATGCCACAAGAGCAAAGACATTCGCAGAGCGTCTTGGGAGTATCTGGCGTTAATTTTGCAGACTTGGCCTACGCAGATATTGCAGAAGCATGCGACGATATTGTCGGACGCCCTGAAGAAAGGCATCGCGGATTCCGATTCGGAGGCGCGAGCTTTTGCCAGGAAGTAAGTAAAACTTGCTATATTTTCCAATTGACGCTTTGTTCGTTGATGAAGTGAACTCTAACATTATCGATTTTGTTTTGCTTTTTTGCAGATCGTTCTGGGCATTTAAAAATCATTGTCCGGAACAGGCTGAAATATTACTTAATACCTTGGACGCGACGTACAAACGGTCTTTGATGTCACTCAGCAACAGCGGCAGTAGTAACAGCTTGAACGTCGTGGCTAACGCGAGATCATCAAGCGTTAGTCCGCGCACAGCTAGACCCGTAATGAGTGCCGCAGGTAAAGATTCTCTGCTTGTTTGTACCGCGATGTATAAATCGCGTTTTTATTATTATTATTATTATTATTATTATTATTATTATTATTATTATTATTATTATATATATAGAAAGAAAGAAAGAAAGAAAGTACGTTATATTGTTTATTAGTACGATGTTTATTCGCGCTTTGTGAGACTCTAATATAAAAGACTTGTCACTTTGTTTTTCATGCTGCTTTGCGACTTCTCTCCTCTTTACATTAAACGTATGAAGGTAGTACGGAAAATTTGCATCAGACCACGAGTCAACCGCACGGTCCGCTCAGACGTACCCCGTCCTTGCCTCGGTCTTATCGTCAATCTGGTATCCCGATACTACAAAGACCAACAGATAGTCATTGTAATTTTTCCAGTCATTTTCTTCAAAAAGAAAAAAGAAAAAAAACCCAAATACACTACGTTTCTGCGCATTACGTGTTACGTATATACACTGTAAAGAAAATATCAGCACGCACGAAACTGACGTCGTATATAGAACCTATTCTAGAGTTATCATTAAATAGAGATGACTTAATGGCAATATCATCTAACTAATCTATCTTATAATTTTGCAGATCGAGGTACACCAGGAGTTAGATCTACCAGTGCGATCGATTTGCAAGCTGCTCAAAGAGCAAAAGCCAGAATAATGTATGCAAATATAAGCAGACAAAAAGCAGCAGCTCTTCGTAAGTAACATTAGTTTTATTGTTAAATTAAAAGGCTTTAAAACAAATAAGTTGTTAATAATGTATATACAATAAATAAATAACATTTTATTGTTTTGTTGTATTAGCTCGTCCTAGTAAATCTCCAGATCCCACCGCAATTGCTAGCCCAGAAAGAATTGCGAGGACAAGGACAAGAGTTTCGGGAGTTTCACAGTCTCAACGTACGGTTTTTTTACAATCTTTTCGCAAAAGAAATATCCACAAGAATTTATTTTCATTTATTCTTTCCTTTATAGCCAGCAGTAGATCAGGTTCTCCGTCGTCAAGATTAAGTTACGCTACGTACAATCGCGAAGGCGAGTCGCTAATAGGTAGACCGAGGCGATTATCGGGACATACCATTGGCAGCACGAGCAACAGTCGCGAGCCTAGTCCGCAGAGATTCGGAATGGACAGAAGTTTCGCTGGTAAACTGAGGTGCGTTAAAAATACTTGCCACAAGTTTTGGGTATTCGACAAGACAGACTCGAATTTTTGCAGAGGAAGAACTTTACATATGTCGCCGACGGACAGCACTAGACCTCCGGTTATGGCACAAAAGATGCTACAGAAGTCACGCGAAGCGGAGTCCGCCTTGGCGGATGCTTTAACCTTTGATAGTATGGATAATTATACCAGAATACCAGGTGGTAAAGGAGATCACAGTGATGACAGCGAGAACAGCAGTATATGCTCGGAACGAAGCATAGACGGTTTCAGACGAGCTAGTGATGTAAGTACGAAGTTTATTACGTAAACCAAGAGAGTGGCGCAATTATTGACTACAAATTCGATCTTAGTCACTTAAAAAAAATTTATGTCATGGAGAATTCATGTTACTTAATGATTTGTTATTAAATCACTTTTGTATTGACTAACACACTAATATTCATGAGAAGAAAATTGCCGAATTGCCGAATCAGATACATCTTCATATATATTTTATTTTTCATTTATTATTACACGCTGCATTTAATTTTATGAACTTACACTCTTCAGATAATTAAAGCCTACTGCTTCTTATCATTGATTAATTAATGTTTACACACGATTTGAGTATTTTAGCAGCATGTGATTTAATATGTCGAAGATAATATCGTTGTGTGTCATAATTTAAGATGTTGATTTCCGTTAAGGTGCAATTATTTTCTTAATTCTTTATATTGTTTATTGAACAAGGAAAACAAGAACATCTTTGAAACACAAAAAGTACACACACACACACACACACACACACACTTTACGAGGATGTAACTAATGCATGTGGTTTTTATTTTTGGTGTGTTTGGTTTGGACTAACGCCGTTCTTTTTGTTCTCCATATCTCTTCATCGTCCATCTACCCATTAGTCGTTCTCATGGAGTGGCTCTCAACCGAGACTATATCGTGATCTATGGGATCAATCAATCCCAAAGGTTTGTTAAATTCTTTCTTTTTATTTCTTTACATTAAGGTAAATATAATTATGACATCTTAAAATCACACGTATATATATATATTTCGATGTTAAAGGAAATATTTTATTTTAAATTATCTATTATTATTTGTATAAAAAAAAAAAAAGAATATCGCAGCGTTCGCTTGGGTTTAGCGTCAATTGTTAAGGCAAATCGATAGGAAACTGATCGCGATAGGAAACACGTTATTAAACGATAACAAAGAGTGACAAACATCTTTGAGTTTTTCTGAAAGAACACAGTCTTTTCTCACATTTTGCAGGACATCAAAGAAATTATTGAGAATTGTGCTCACAAACATTGGGGAGATAGAAAAGAAGGTTTAGTAGGCTTGCAGCATTATTTGAGCAATGGAAACACATTGACAACAACGGATTTACGTAGAGTAACGGATATTTTTACAAAAATGTTTATGGATTCTCATACCAAAGTGTTCAGTTTGTTTCTGGACACGCTGAACGAATTGATCATCACTCACAATGAAGGTCTTGGTGACTGGCTTTACGTTTTGTGCGCCAGGCTTCTCAATAAATTGGGCACCGATGTGTTAGGATCTATACAGACAAAGATCCACAAAACACTTGACGTTGTGAGGTAAGAATGCGCATAAAAGCTTTTTAATACAATTTTATATTTCTTAATGTTAACTTTGTCACTCAATTTTTAACGCAATCACAATGGTGATTTTTCCAGAGACTGTTTCCCGGGCCAACAGCTTCTACCGGCTGTGATGAGGTATCTGACAGATCCAACACAAACACCAAATTTTCGCGTGAAAGTAGCAGCATTGACTTTTATCACGCAGATCGCTGAGACGGCAGAACCGTCCGCGCTAAGCAGTTCTGCATCCACAGCGATTGCACGGCTGCTCGACTGGTCGAATGACGTTAAAAGCCAAGATGTGAGGAGGCACGCGCAGAATGCTGTGATATCACTTTACAATCTCAATCCACCTCAAGTTACTATGATACTTTCCGAGTTACCGAAATTGTATCAAGTGTGTTTTAAATTTTAATTTACTGATTGTCGGTATTTGTTTTCTTTATCTGTTCTTGTGCTTGAATTGTTTGTTTTTCTCATTAGGAAACAGCCTGGCCTTTGGTTCAGAATCACTTGAAGAAGACGTCCGCGTCGAGTAATCCGGCGTCACCTGGTACTCCGCCACCTAGAATGCAGAGTTCACCGGCTCGTACGAAAGTAAAGAACGAAATTAAGACAGAAGCAAAGACCGAGATCGATGGTGGAGACGACAATTTGGAAGAAGTATACAAGTACGTACGCGATGTTTCGTCGAATCGGACATTTCACTAAAACCTTGAAGATATTACAACTGTAAGATATGTATTAACTTTCTTGAAGTTCTTCTTACAGATCTCTGCGACGCACTACTGCTGAAATCCAAAATTATGGCTTTGAACGTCTGGAGAGAGCCACTACCAGCAAAGATAGTGGAATTAGCAATATGGCCGATGTAGAAGAAAGAATGGAAGGTCTCACATTATCTAATTCGGTAAGACTAGAAGAAAAGAAACAGTTTTTGAAAGTTGGTGAAAGCTTTCGCTCTTGATCGTTTCACTACAATGAACATTAGAATGAATCGCAGATATAGATAAAAATAATTCTGATTTAATTCTTTAAGGGTCGATCTTCGTCCGTCTCTTCACCAACGCAACGAGGAAGATCTGGCAGTAACATTACAGTTAACGGATCCGATACGATCGCTGGTGATTTGATTCTACCTCAAGAAAATAATGGTTATAAAACACATGGTGTGTATTTTGTCTCTTGATGAATAAAAATTTCTATGTTTAGAAGAGTCGGAATATATTTTACGAGAACGAGATATTTTATATGCAGGATCGTCACCTGATTTGGTAAACAGACCAGAAATCGTGGACAATATGGTTAAGACTCTGCAGTCCAAAGTAGCGCAAACTACAGAAAAAGTGTCTGTGTTACAAGAATTTCAACTTTATGTACGGGAAGGCGATGCGTCATATATTAAACGAAACTTCAAGTACGTCTCGGTTCTCGTACACAGTTTACTAGCTTCTTCTGTGATATACTTATTGCTTCTGATGTGTTTCAGAAAAGTGCTCAAAGTTTTATTAGATAGTTTATCCAATGACGGTAAAGTGATACAAGTAGAAGTGCTTCAAACGCTCATTGATATGCTTAAATGCTCTGAACTCGTAGAGAACTTTTCCTCTTACAATGAGTTGTTGGTTCTGAAAGTTATCTACGCCTATAAATCCGATGATCAGAAGGTCGATTCTTCCAGCGGTAGCGGCGGTAGATCACCAGTGAGTGTCAATTCTGTTTGACTGTTTCAATTAGTAGAAATAATTTAATACATTATTACACAATGTCGTGACAGGTGCACTGGAGCGCGGAAAAATGCGCAGCAACCATGGCCATGGTTTTAAAACCGGATCAAATCATCCATTTAGTTTCCACTATAATCGCTACAGAATCTTATCCATTAAATATGGGTGCAATAAAAATGTTGCATAAAGTAGTGGAGCATTGGGGTCGTGAAGCTATCGAACCTCATCTTGCCAAGGTTATGCCCGGTCTTATTAAGGTAAAGGGAGAACTTGAAAAATTTTTTTCATTCAAAAATAAATTGTTTCGCGTGTGTGTGTCGTTTCACGATTTTATATTTTTATAGGCCTATGATGATGCCGAGAGCGCAGTTCGCAAAAGCGCGGTCTTCTGCATGGTGGCGATCCACGTCGCGGTTGGCGAAGAGGTGTTGAAACCGCATCTAAGCTGCTTGTATTCCAGCAAGTTAAAACTGCTGAATATTTATATACAGCGCGCGCAGCAACAAACGAACAGTCAGCCTGCGAGTCCGCGCAGCAACAGCAAGAATTAACCAACATCTAACACTGTTTTGACTCTCAGGGTCGCGATGCTTAAAAGATTTGCCCGTTTTGGCGCGCGACATGAGCGAATGCTCATCAGCTTCCTCAGTAAGTCCAATCCGTGATCACGGTCGACAATGACGGTTTTAACCGTATGACTCGGAACTTTTCATAAGATAGAGACTGATTTTGTGTGTATGTGTGTGTTTGCGTTAATCGCGACAACATATGTGCGTGTGTATGTGTGAATCGCTGCTCGAGACGATAGTGATGTTGTCTGTAAAAGAAAGCCCAAAAAATGAGAAAAGCAGTTTGTAATTGGTCTTAGTATTACATTTGTCAAATTTATAGAAATTCTTGATAAAAAGACTACAGATGAGTGTAGTGGTGTTCATTATCAAAAGAGAATAAGAGAATAGTTTGTGCGATTTTTCAAATTATGCAACTAACTGTGCATACAAAGAAAAACTAAGCTTAAAAAATGAAGTCCGAAGTAGGAATATTCCGGTATAAATTCTAAGTATTTTTATCGACATTTTAGATTCTAAAATTTATATAGAGTTACAGAGAAGAACGAGTGCATTTCTGTTTTTGCAAATATTTTAATGTGTTTATAAGAAGAGTTTATATCGTTATATTTCTCTCCGTTAGGTTGTAATCAATATCAAAATATTGTATGTAATTACCACGAGTACATAAACATTTTGATAAATACTTATTATCGAACTCTTATAATTCGTATTATTTTTTAAGTTACATGTTTTTGCAGTTTTGCGGTTAATTGCATGACCTTTCACACTTGAAGAAAGTGATTTTTTTAAGTATGAAAGGAAGGAAGAATCAACAAATATCATTTTGTGATATGCTTGCAACGTTTATTCTGTAAAAAACATTAGGTAATTTTATGTGTCATTTTGCGAACTGATGACAATAATTTGGTTAATTATGTGCTAAACGTTTCTTTTTGTATTGTTTTTCTTTATTGGTATAATACTATACATGTACGTATATATACATATACAAGACAATATTTACGCTTATATTTTATGATGGAGAGATTTTCAGCAAGTCCAGTATTTTTGTTAATATGAATAAAAAACAACTTTTATTTTGCAAACAGCAGTTGAAAAAACTTTTTGTTTTTATATATGTTTTTTAATCTATCCATCATCACGAGAACCTCATATCTTGTAAAAGTTTAACGACTTTTGAGAGAATACAATACAACATCACTGTCTCCACGAGTCCCAATCTTTTCTCGTAACGCGCAGCAGCTGAATATTAATCACACGGGCTATCTGATGTTATATATTAAAATAATATTGTATACGTGCTTGTTATCGATTTACCAATGCCGATCGTAAATATCGCGTGTCCGTCGCGAAACGTCGTGATTACATTTTACAACAAACGACATGTGATAGAGCAAAGTGGAAACGTAAAAAAGTATAATTTATTTGTTTTGAAATCTATGTGCTAGTCAGATTCCCAAGGACGCACAATAACGTAAAACAAAAAAAAAAAAACAAGACAAACGGAATAGTCGGATTGTTTTTTTGACAAATAATACACAACTAACTATACTTACATTACGGAAAGAAATATGTGAGATAAAAAGCGATATTTTGCGTGTACGAATGCGAGAGAGAACGCTTTGTGTGACTGAGAAATTAGCGCATGTTTAAGAAGCAAGCATACATATAAATAAAAGTAGTAGCTATTATAGCAAATTGATCTGCTCGAGACTAACGTTAACACTTGAAATTATTCATCACGTTGCCAATAATATAACGAAGGAACGCTAAATCAAACGCTAACATAACGAGTTTAGTAACATTTTGTGCCATTGTCGTTTCTGTTTACTGTATAAGGAAAAAAAATTTATATATATATGTAGAGAGATAAATCCTTTTTTGTCCTTTTTCTCTTACTATAAATATATATACATATATATGTGTGTATATATATATTTAGTTGAGATACGATATAAGGATAATAAAAAGGGTAATTTTTATTATAATATTCTCATTAAAATGAATCATTTTTGAGGTATTACGAGATATTGAAAAAATGTTTTTTGGAAACGTTCGTTGTTCGTACGTAAATATTACTTATTATACAAATGTACCGAGTGTAATAGGTAGAGAAAAAAACAAATGTGTCGTTCTCAGCGAATTCTTTTGCAACGCGAATGTATGTGTCCAATAGTACCTCCATAATTCATTTGAGCGTGATGACGCGATGATTCTCAAACATAATTACGGCCAAATAGTGCCAAAGAAAAGAACAAAATACCGAAGAGAGCACGAATATAGGAGCAATCTGACGCGTAAACATTGAGAAAAAAAAGAGAAGTGAGTTAAAGCACGACAGACTGTGTATTTCTTTTACTTTGTGCCTTCGGCGTCGACGTGACGGGATTTGATTGACAATTGTCTTTCATCATCACTTAGGAACAATTTCGCAGATAGAGATACAATTACCAAGAGATTAAAAAAAAAAAAAAAAAAAAAAAAAAAAAAAA